TTGATAAGTTATCAAATGATTCTTCACTGTATAAACCAAATATTAATATTTTTCAGGAAAGAAATGCATATTCAGAGAATTTATATCTGGAATATCCATCTGTGCTATTTTATCCATTCTTATATAAATAAGTTGACAGAATATGGAAGGATTCTTACTATAATCTTTTTCTTTCTGTAGGAAATTGATGGGAAGGCTCTGCTGCTCCTCAGGAGTGATCTGATGATGAAGTATATGGGGCTGAAGCTGGGGCCAGCATTAAAACTATGTTACTACATAGAGAAACTTAAAGGGGTAAAGTATAATTGGAAAAAAGTGCAAGTTTAGATTAGAGCTGATTCTCAGGTATACTGAAGACACTTTACTTTAAAAGGAGCTCTCTTAGCAGTTTTACTTCATAGAAGGTTTCTATAAAAAATGTTTTATCAAAATTGGAGAACTGCATCGACAGTCCAGTCTTACTCTTTAAATAACCATTCAGCATGTTAGTACAGGCATACTTAAAACTGGCAGTTCACTATGTCTTTCATTTTTATTGTGTAGTTTACTAATGTACTTCAAGTAGCAAATGGAGGAAGACCTTTGATTTGGGTTAACCTTCACATCTAGAACCAAACAGCTAAATCCCAAAGGGGAAATAGCAACTTAACCTCTATAATAAAATATGTGAGAAGATTTCCTCAGAAGGGAATTTAAAGATGCACTTGTAGCTGTCATGTCTTTCTTGGTTATTTTCTATGTTTGATTTCACAGTGTTTTGTTCAAGTTCTACTAGTTTCTAGAAAGGAAAGAGCCACATAAATTATTTTCCTTTCAGTGATTACTACTCTCAGTGTTGCATTTGTTCATATTTATAGGGGATAAAGCAAGTTTATAAGCTTACATAAATAACTTTATGCGGGAGATTTTTATTCTACCAGAATGATTTAGGTGGCGTTTGATAAATTTTTGTCAACACCTATTTTACAATTTTCTATATCTGTTGCTAAGTTTGAACATTAGACATTCATTCTGCCATCTCTATATCCAAGATACCTGTGTCCAGTTTTTTAAAGATATCTATTTTATTATGTGTTTATTCTTCATATGGATACTTTAACATATTTATATACTATTCTAGTAGAATAAAAAT